GGTAAGACTGAAGCTTTATTTTCACGTACATGCTTGCTCAGTGGCTTTTGTCACTGTGGAGGTGAGCTCCTGGCACTTGCCATAGGCAGTGATGTCCTGCTCAGGGCTATATCAAACTGATGGATTCTTCCAAAGGTGGAGGCATGAACCCCCCTGGGTTTTAGTGTCCCATCTGTCTGCAGCAGCTGCAGTGGGCAGCAGGAGGGTAATGTGGGAACCTTCACAACTTGAAACACCTGAACTGGACATACTGGTTGGCTACAGGCCTCTCTATGCTCATCCTGTCCTTTGTCAAAACCTGAATATTAGGATATGGTCTCCTATCTTTCCCCAAATACCCTCTCCCTTCCTTCTGTGATGTACCTGGTTCTGCACCCACCACAGGTTTGGAAAGGCTGAGGCTGGACGGCAGGTGGAGGTCTGGCTGCGCGGTGGGAGTGGGCAGAGCCAGACCAGGACGTGTCTTCATAGCAGGTGGCCTGGTGCAATAGGGAGGACAAATAATTCATCTTTGGGGATCTTCTTTTCTTTACTTTTCCTTATTCCTCACAGCAAAAGAATAAGCACCAAGCAAAGGATGCTGGCCAAGTATGAATTAGCTATTAGAATAAAGAATTTATTTTGGTTGTGGCTTATTTCGAGGGCTCACCGTGCTGCTTTTATATTTGTCTCTTCCTGGTTTCCAAAGGGGTGCTGGGTTCACTTTCAGACTGTAACCACGCTGAATGGGGAAAAGACAGGAGGATGAAGTGGGGAGAGGAGACAGGTCTTAGCAAGTGCCCTTAGCTCTGCTCTGAGCTTCCAGCCTGGAGCATCAGTTGGGAGAGCAGAATAGAAATGAACAAACAGCTGGCTCTGTAAGAGGCAATGATTAAGGAACTGGCAACTGAGATCTTGAGTTTCTTCTGTTACCTTTTCCATTTTTGCCTTTTCCTCTTCTTTTGCAAACGGAAAGGAGATAAGAAGTCCAGGGAAGAATGAGCACCGAGGGGAGCCAGCATTTACCCAGGGCAAGGAAGAAAGTGTCCTCACCCCAGCCCCCACCCGGGCATGTCTAGCAGCTTTGCTGCAGCCCCAGGAAGGACTTCAGGGCAGATGTGCCCTGTGACCTGATACGCAAAAATAAAACATCCAGTGCCTCACCACTGCCAACCTGAGTGAGCTTTGGAGAGACAACATGAGCATAAGAGCAAAAGCAAGAACACTTCTCCAGGTACCAGCACAGTTCCATGAGGGTACCACCACCTGCCTCGCTCCTTTGGTCTCCCCCACTTGGTCTCCACCCATTTCTCACCATTGCTAACAGCACTTTCCACTGGTCTGCCCATGGGAAAAGTGTTGTGAGCATCCCACACATCCTTTCTCCTTCACTCATTTTTTTTCCTTCCTACCCCTCAGACCTGCAGCATTTATTTGGTCTGAGCTCATAGGCAGAGCTTAGATGGGTTTATATGCTCCATGCCTGAACCCATAGACAATTACAAACATGGCTGGCTGCCTGGTTTTGTTAATTAGCTACCAGCAATGCCTCATTTCCCCCTCTGTGGCTTCTTTCTGAATTAGCAGGGCACTGCTCATTAGTTCTCTTCCGCTTTGGAATGCCACAGTTGAACATTATGGCATCCAGAAATGCCAGTTAGTTGAGAGTATAAGCTTGATTTGTTTGGACAATAAAAAAATATTAGTTACATTTAGGTAATTAAGCAAAATAACAGCAAAGCTATTTTGTACTAGTGCAATCTGCCTGCCCTGTTCCAGTGCTCAAGCTTCTTGTTTCCTGATTTGCTGGCAACAAAAATTAGAGTAAGTGTCCACAATAGTTTCTTGATTTTGCTGCAAAATACTAAATTTTGACTGAATCCAGTTCAGTCAAATTGGTATCAGCTGATGGGACATCACCCTGGGCAATGACAAGTTGCAGAAAGTCAGCAGGTGCCATCGGAAAGCATCCTTGTCACCCTTGTACCTGCAAGTGACGGCTTAGCATCACAGCCTTGCTACACGATTTAGTCTTTTAGGGTTAAAAGGTCTTTCCTGTCTTCATTAGGCCTAGAGACATGGATGTTTGTGCAGATTTAAATCTTCCCTGAAGTTATTGCTTGAGACGAAGAGGACAGTGTATTGTAGGGTACAGTCATAGCTAGGATTTCTAATCTGAGTAAAAATCTCCATTTTCCCAGGAAATCTATGAAATGAAAGGATTTCCTTTCCAGGTGTAAAGAAGGTGTAGGAGCATCCAGCTGGCCTTGCAATCCACAAAGTGCTGTTACAGGGGACAGCCAGGGATGGCCCTAACTTGTCCCCCAGCTGTTTCAGTCTGGGATAGTCACTCCCGTCCCCGCAGCCAGCGGAGCAAAATGGGCACATGGAAAAACTGCCGCTTGTTCAAAGGAAGTGTCCGAGGATGGCTCTGGCAGGTATATGGGTCTCCTCTTGGCTTGAAGGGAAACAAATATCTGAATTCAGGTGGGATCACTCCCTCCTCTTGCTTGCCCCTTTCCTGATGACGAATCATCTGCAGAAAAGTCTGCTAAGGCAGACTCAGTAAATTTTAGTGCTTTGTTCCCACTTCATAACCCACAAGTGGCTTTTGGGAAAAGGGATGATGGATGAAATAGCAAAAATCCCTTTGGTCAAGGTGTCATGCCTGGCTGAAGCCCTCAGGAAGCCCGTGCACCAGGTCAGCAGGCAGCAAGGAAGGAAAGGTGCATTTTTACCAAAGACTAGAGAGTGATAGGGGTCTTCTCATGAACGGATACTTTGAGATTGAACCCACTTTGTGCTACTTCATGTTTTCCTCAAAAGCAGTCACCATTTACCATGGTGACACCATTTACCAAGGTTACAGGCAGACTAAATGGCGATGTGACTCCATTTATAAAGATTTGTTTTCATTTTTCCGATCTGCACCCTGGAGTTTGGGCTCAGTTCAACCAGGAATTGCACTTCCAGCAGCTTGATGCTTATTTAAGTACTTAACACTAAATAACAGCAGTAGCAACCAGGGTGGTAAAATAATGTTTTATTCCATGAATGAACAAACACTACCATGCCACATTCTAAAGTTCTTTCTACAAAAGATTGTGGACAGAGCAGATTTTTACATTTCTCAGGTCAAGTTCATTTCAGGCTTTTGAGCCTGTTCAGTGTAGCAAAATCTGGACACGCAGCATTCTTATTGTCTATTTGGCATTTTGCCGGATAAAGCAGATTTATACCGCAGTTCTTGTTCACGCAATGTCGATGCACTGTAAATTAAAGAATATAAATCAAAACCAAACTAGGTCATTTCTGTGGTTTATCAATATATTTTTCATGATGGTCAAAGTACAACCAACATTCAAAGCTTAAAATAAAGATAATAAAAAAGACACACTAAAGAACACAATGGAAACATCATCATTGCTGTCAGGATGTGAGTTTACCCACAGTACTATGTAAAAAGTAGAAACCGGCATTGACATTCAAGCTGTCAAAACAAGAAAAGAACTTACATTAATTGTTATATTTCCAAGCTAGTACTTCTAAAGAGTCCTGATCAGCAAAGAAGTGTTATCGCATGCATGCCGAACACAAGACTAATATTGGATTGGGGACCTGACAAATAACTGACTTACATTCCTTTATATACAACGAAATGAAATATACAGTATTAATACTGGCTGTACATTTGGTCAGAATATTTTACAAGGAGCGACACAAGTCAAAATTCTTATGACGTGGTAAGTGGAAGTCAATGACAGTTGGGTTTCTTTCTGAGAGTTGAATGTTTTCACAAGAAGTTCTAAAAGTTGCTTTGCACTGCTGTGATGAAGTGTTAGATATTTCAAAGCAAAAATGCTCCTTTTTTATTCTTTTATGCTCTGCAAAACTAGTATGAGCAGAAGAGATAATTAAACGTGTTTGGAATGTTCTAATCATTGACCTGGAATAAAACTAAGCTGCAGACAGCATGTGCAATAAATCTGTGCACACTGGTTCTGTTTAAAATGCTTTATGAGATGATCTGTGAAGTATCTGATACAAATTCCTGCTACCATAGCCTCATCTAGCCATTCCCCAACAGGCTACCAATCAATTGTTCCAACACTAAAAAAAGAAAAAGAATAACCTTGACCGTCGCATATTTTTCTATAATATAATAAAAATATCTCAATGTTAAGCTGATTTAGCTTATTTATGTGCATTTTTTTCAAGGCTGCCGAAGAAAATTCTTAATCTTGCAGGCAAAAGGCTATGTCAGGAACCTGACAGTGAGATTTCCTTTGCTTTATTCTAATAGATATATTAATGTCTGGGTACCTTGACTCCCATTGCCTCTTTAGACCCCTAAGGTCTAAAGTGAGTTGGTTAATTCAGTGTATGTTTTTTCCCCATCCAGAACAAGCTGAGAAGCTAATAAGGTAAGCATGAGACCCAATGAAAACAGAAGTAAAAGCTATACAAAATTAAGAAATAATTACAGGAAGGTAAAGATCGGTGTAACTACAGCAATATTTTGTACAATTGAATTTGTATGTCCTGTAGCAATGACAAACCTTCTGAACATGGAAAAGAGCAGGCGAGTACGTATGAATCAGCATCCTTTAAAATAATTGTGCTATAATCTTTTCCATCTATTCGGTTAGATTTTTTTCTGACACAGTGTGATGCTAACACAGTGTGATGCTAACAATCTTTAGTAAACTTAATATGGACGATGGGTTTCACTGCTAATGCTTGATTGCTTGAATGCAAAGAGACATTAAAGTTTCCAGTCCTCAAAGCAGTTTCTTGGGGTGTTCCTTCAAGTTCAATGTCTTACCACTTTCACGTTAGAAGTCACTTTGTGGCAAACAAAAAAAAAAGGAAAAAAAAGGAAAAAAATCAGAGAAAAAGATGATATTGGTTGTGATGAACTAATTTCAGACAGCAGTTTCTGCTGAGTTCACCATGCTTAATGTTCTTCCATTTAGGAAGGAGTTGCTGTCCAGTAAAGCAGATGAGCTGCTTTCAGTTTCTTTTAAATACATGCTAACAGCGTAACATCTCTTTCTTCAGGAAAATGATCCAGTTGCATATTGTCAGAGAGATCTGCCTTGTGCTTAGCACGGACTAGTAGAGTTAATCGTCGTCCTCCTCCTCTTTCAGTGGGGCTATCGGGAGTTTGTCCTGAACTTGGAAACATGCCACAAAAAAGTTGACGATGGAGTTGTACAAATGCTGCTCCAATGCTGCATTGTTAAAGTAATGGCTTTCGTCAGGGTAAATCTGCAAAGAAACAGGCAAATACACACCGTTAGGAGCTAAAAGTCTCAGGACTGACCACCCATATCTGTAGCTCAAGCTGGCCTGTAAACCCACTGCTTTTTCTCATCACCGTGTGTCTTCCCGTAGATGCACAGGATCCAGGGTAATTCAGGCACCACAGCGCTCTGAGAGCAGACTTGCATCTTCCTTCAAAAGGTACTTTTTTGGGGGAGGATTTTCCATTTAAATCCATTCTGAAAAAGTTCAGGTTAAGCAGAACCAGATCACACTTACAAATAACAGTGCTTGCTCCTTGCGAAAACTGAAAAAAACCTCAGTGCATCTTTGTAGAGAAATGGTGTTAGGTTTTACTGACTAAAATGAGGGCTTAAAAGAAAAAATGTCGTCAAGTAAAAAATTCAAATAAAGCTTGCTGAAGAAGTAATTAAATAGAAAAAATGTGGGAAGCTAGAAATGAAACAGTTTAAACACAGCTTTCCATTTAAATAGAACAGGTAACTTCTGCGCATGTTGAAGGAAGGTGAGAAGATCGTAACAGGTTGCCTAGACTGGGATATTGAAGGCGGAAAAAATGAGTTTGTAGGGCTGGATGTTTGTAGGCAGGACTGAAGTGTCTCACTGCTGCTCTGAGTACCCTCATTCAAGATGTAGATCCCTCAGCCCTCCATTCAGCCCTCAACTAACCTTGGACATGCATCAAGCCCATTGGTGCCTTCAAGCTCCAATGTACTAATGCTTCTGCACTGGGAAATGTGCAGGGGCTCAGTCACTGTAGCACTGACCAAATCCGTGCCAGGCTCATTGCCTAGCTCCCATGTCTGTGCTCCATCCTATCTCCTTTTGCACCATGATGGAGCGAGCACATCCATCACATGAAGCTCTGCAGAAATGCAGCCAGAGGGAGCTGGTATTCAGTAAATCAAGCATTAGTAGGACTTGGGCAGTGAAACACAACCATCTATACTGTGAGCTGTAGCATGGTCCCTGGCATGGATTTAGCTTGGGCTAGTTACACTCTCCTGGCTGTGGCTTGGTTTCTAGCAGAAGGTAGGGACTATGCCTATGGCTGGTGGATGGGCTCATTTTGGAAGATTTAATGGCTTGGATATGGGCCATTCAGCAAATTAGAGATGTAATTCGGTGGAAAGAGGGGCTTTCTAGACCAGAGCATGTCATTCAGAGGGATGTCAGATTTAAGTGACATTTTTCTCCTTAACTTTTCTGGTTGATTTAATTCAGGTTCCTGTTTCCCTGTAATTCATCCTGAACTTAGCCTGTTGTTCCCAAAGAAAGTCAACAGGAATCAATTCCTTAGAGATGTGTCTCTCAAAATCTAGTTTACTGTACTTTAATAATTATTCTACAACTGTCCAAAGCAAAACAGTGGTATCAAATAAGCATGGGAGTACACAGGAACACATTACATGCTGGTGCTATTTCTACTGCCAGGTTGAGTTTGCAAGTGGTTTCTCAAAGCTTGCTTCGTAACAGCAGTTTGAGTTCAAACTGGGAAATAACTGTTCAAATATGAAAAAAGGAAACACATACTGTACCTGCAAGCTGTAATTAGCCTTTGCCCTAATTAGGTGTGTAATAAGGTCCGCAGTATGCTGAAAATGGATTTTTTCTGTAAAAACAGATTACAATCATTAAAGAGGCAAATTTAATTAAGAAAAATCAAAGCCATCCGAAACATGTAATGAGCTCAAATGATGGGCTAACTTACCATCAGCAGTAGCATGAATGATCAAAAATGTCTGTTCCTTCAGTAATGAGACTCTGTGTGCTAATTTGTTGATCTGTGAAGGTAAAGGTTGCAATAAGATTAAAAATCTTGCTAGAAATTAGCAATTTATATTGCTATTAAAACTAGCACTAAGTTCCATTTGATACTTCATCACAAGGATAACAAGCAGACACCAACACAGCATATACTCTTGGCTACTTGGTCAATCTGGAGGTAAAATAGACCCCCACCCTGTCCTTCCAGTTTTTTTTAGGAAGAGATCAGAGACCCTCGTCTGTTCTGATGATGTTCACTAAAAGCCTGAACTGCAGAACACATGGAAAATGTCAAAGTGAATTTTCAGTGAATACAAAACATTGATGAAAAGCATGCCCAGGTGCCTATGTCTTAGAACTCTTCAAAGAGTTGGAATGACTTTGGTATGGTTTGAAAGCCAACTTCAATGAGCTTTGACAGCCCAGGAGAGGACTGATACTAAATTCAGGTGTCCACTGCTGAGAATGCCTTTGCCCCTGACTGTCTTTCAGATGCACAGGGGCAATAAATACAAATATAAGGGACTGCAAATGGTACAGGGTAAGAGAAATTAAGGACTTCTCCACGTTTTGCTGTATTGTTCAGAAGAATACAAGTCTCAAGGAGATTCCAAAAGACTCCAAAAAAGTCTTGGAGTGGCAAAAGGAACGTACGTCTCAAATCACAGACGTTACTCTTACAGGGGGGCAGGGAAGAATATCTGTCTCAAATTCATGCTTCCTTCATTGTTTAATTGCATGTGCCCTAGCTCTGGTTCACTTACATGAGTAAATACATCTTTCACTTAAGACACCCTTGTATCAATCATATCTTATACCTATTTTCATCTTCCCACTGTCCTACATTGGTTCCACAGAAGGCAGACAAGTGCATCTCCAGCAGCAACAGGACCTTCCGTGCCTGGCTATGGAGGCTGAATTAGCTGGCTAAAAACACTGGTATGTATTATTAAGATATGGTCGCTGTAATTTTACATTACAGATTACATGTGCCTCTCCTCTTTTAAAACATAAAGCAGCCCTGAACATCAGAAGTGGCCCTGCATATTTCCTTGGTGCTAGAGGCAAGTTTTTGCAAGTTTTGCTTGGTGCAGGATTGTTCTGGCTTTCTTGCAGCTCCACACTCTGTATGGGCTTAGCAAGTGTTTGCAAATTTTGCAGGGGGTGCCTCTGATCTTCCCTGTATCATTGAATTTAATTAATGAGTTCTTTCGTCCTTAGATTGCTGGCTGCAATGCCTAATTCTTTTAATGGTGTATGCACATGTCTGGCACTCTGTTCTCCCCCTATATGGCTCCTTCCTTTCTGCTGTCTCAGATGTAACCTACCACAATGCAGTTTTTTTTGAGTCTACGTCAGGTCTTGAATTATGTGACCTCCACAAAGTTCAGGTCTGGTCCTCAGGTTAGGAGCAGTTCTTCTCCCTGAGCAATGCATGGTTCAACTATGGTGTGTAGGAGATGTGTATCAGTTAGAGACCCTGCCTGGAACAGTGCCGTGCTCTGCAGAAAGCTCAGGTGCTGATCCTAGTAGTTAATCCAAAGTCAACCAATAGTACCACTATTTGCTTAGGCTAACTTTTCAGTGCACAAAGAGCACATGACAATTCAAAGCTCTCATTTCTGGAATATTTTCCCTTGCTTTCACCTCTGCTGACCTGCCTTCAAATTTCTAAAAGGACAAAAAGAGTTTACAATGATCTAGAGATCATGAGTGCAAGATTTGAAAGAATGAACTCAGGGTTTAGATAACCAGGAAAAAGCTTCCCCTGCAGGGACACGGGGTGCCATCTGCCTTCTCTGTAAGAAAACGGTTTCAAACCTTTGCTGCCTTCATATCTTCTAGTCGAAGACAAGGCTTAGCAAGCTTAACAAGGTTTTCTCTATAATAAATTTTGTTTGTGTGACTATTCTTTATTAGGATTTTCCTCCAAGTAATTGAAGCATGTGAACCAAGTGATCCCATCGCACATATTAAACAGTATCTTAGTTAACTGGTGCCATGTCTCCTTTTCCACGTCCTGCTGA